TTAACTCAATTTATTGATAGTATTAAGAACTTAGCACCATAAACGCAACTTGTACTTTGTAGAAATGTCACTAATTATGGCATTAATTATATTCTAAGAAAAATCCTTGTTACTCGATTACTAATTACTCGATCTAAAATAGGCACAGGCGGATTTACGGGGGAGGCTTTCGGGCTGAAGCCCCCCCCCCCCAAATGGTAAAATGTAACCATGTTTTATGGTAAAAAATTATGTCTTAAAGTATTATTGCTCGTTTAATTACATTTAATAGAACTTCAAGAATCACTTAAACACCATTTCATATAGGTAGTTAGTATCTTTCTGTTTTTCCAAAGTAATTATCGTTATATATATGAAAAAAAAGCTTCCAGGCTGAAGCCCCCCCCCCCAAAAATTAAATCCTGGATCAACTAGTGAAAATATGTAAAGTGATAATTTGGATGACAATAATATATCATATTTTCTTGTTATATACCGAAGGCATTGCAATCACGAAAATGCAGTCATGGCGATTTTATTTTTATTCATATTAAAAATAAAATGTTTTTCATCAGAAGAGAAAAGAAGAAATACATCTAAAAAGTGGTTATGCTATTAGCTTAGAATGTGAAATAATATTTACGTAATATACATGTATCATTAAAGTACATGACATGGGATTCCTTTTTATGAAAAACAAAACTGACTCACTCTACCATCATTCCGAATCCCCTTATGTTGGTACTACAAAAATTCCAATTATGTAACTACGAACGTTTCAAGTACAATAGCAATGTTTTTCCATTAAAGTATTTCATACCAAACTGTTTTTTGTTCATTTAATTTCGTAAACAAGATAAAGGATTAAATTAATGAAGTATTGAAAAGTAGCAATATTGCTCAATAGTTATGTGATTCGAAGGAAAACAAACATAACAAAGTTTTTGAACAATAATACATAACCGAATTTTTCTTGCATAAATAACTTATTGAAATAAATACGTATCAGCGTTGTGTAATTTTACGAGTTTAAGATTTTATTTACGAGTTTCAGTTGATTTATGCCGTTTTATTTATCAAAGGTTCTGTCTATTCATATTTTATGATTTGTTGGTTAATTTTTTTTTTTTTTTTTTTTAGTTGAATATTTGTACTCGTAGCTTAAAATTTTTATATAGATTATTTGTTTATTTAGAACTTGTTTATTGAGAAATATTACAACCTGTCTCAAAGGACATTTATAATAGTTTCAGAGAGAATATTCACACTCTATGTACAATAAATAAAGATAAATTGAACAGCAAAATATTATAACTAAAACTAAATGTATATAAACAAAAATAAAAACTAAATTAATCAAAATAACAACATAAATAATATTATTGTTAACAACTAGTTCGCGACTAAATATCATTACATACTAAATCTTCAACTTTCCTTTAAATTGTTCTACATTTTTCCTATTTAAAATATTCTTCCGTTGACGTTTTCATTGATTTAAAATTAATTTCCTTTATGTTACGTCAATATTCATACCAATTCATTAACTTTTATTATCTATCCCCAAAGTTTAATTCATGTCACTAATTATTGAATGAATTCTTTATATAATCATTATTATCAGTATAAACTTTTAAAAGTGATTGATTTCACTCTGTATTAGTATTAGTATTTTACTCTGTACACCACTAAACTGAGTTAGGGTGGCTCTTCCCCTCCTTAAGAAGACAATATTTCCTAGGCACTTTCCTTTATCGAATCATTACCGATCATCGTCCTTCTTATGCCTACAAACTTCTCCAATTTAAGTCCTCAATCCATTCCCTCACTACAAGATCTCGACCCTCTGACCTATACATCTCTTCTCATAGATCTGCCTCATTCCAAAATTCCTTTATAGCCCGCTCTGTCAACTTTTGGAATTCCCTCCCAATCAAAATTCGACATGCCCCTTCCCTATACACATTCAAAAACCTCTTATTCCAATTTCTGTTCCAAAAACGGTCAGATACCAGCTAACTATTAATACTATATATGTATTGTGTAGCAATCATATAATCATAATACTTGGTAAGAGATAATACATGAATTTCCTACTATCGACATAGGAATTTCATTATACATTTTTTTTTTTTTTTTTATGAAATGAACTCATTCTATCTCTTTTTCGTTCTTCATTTCTCAAAGTCTATGTTTATGTTGTTCAACCCTTATATATAGTTTTGTTCATAGTTCAAGTGATTCGTTCATAGTTTTAATTGTTTTGTTCATAATTTTAAATGCTCTGTACTTAGTTTTATCTGTATTGTATATAGCTTGTGCACCTAAGATTTTCTTCACTTTTTATTTTATTTTATCAATTTTATTTATTGTTTCAAAAGTTTAGGCCAGTAATATTCTAATATTTTGTACATTATCGTTATTCTAAAGGGACTTAGTCCCAGAATAAAGTTTTTTTTTCTATCTATCTATTGTTTCAGGTACAATTGAATTTTCTGTTGAATCTAGAGTTAAAACAATGAAATTGTTAGCGACTCTCTTGATTTTTATGTTCTTAGGTATGAAAAATTAATTTTTATAATACAATTATAAAAATAATAAAATTATTGCATATTTATTTTAATTTTATCTAAGCTGAATTTTTTATTATTTTTAGGAAATTCAAGAGGAAATGAATTTGATAACCCTATGATTCTGGCTTACAACGATGAACTACAAGGCACGAATCCAATATTGGATTCAATATCTGATGACGTTTCAAATGAAGTATTTTTTTACCTTTTTACAAGAGAGTAAGTTGATTTTATTTTTTGTTTCACACCTGTTTTTAAAACCCATCATAAAATAGATACACATTTTTTCACAATAAACACCTTACGTGTCCATTAGTGCATCGTTTAGTAGAGATCTGTAATTGGAGTGTTTTCTGGTTATTCCAATTCTGCTTCATTTCATATTTCAAATATTTAAAGTATTATGCGTATTTAACGTGTAATGTATAAGTTGTGTTTTCTCAATAAATAACAATTATATTGCCAATTTCACATTTCAGAGGACCAACTACAGGGGAAGAATTAATTTTTAACAACATAGGTAGTTTGCAATCGAGTTTCTTTAACCCAGATAATCAAACTAAATTTATCATCCATGGTTTTCACGATTGTACAAGTAATCCTATGGCGCAATCAATGAAAAGCAGTAAGTATCTTATATTAATATAATTAAATATTGCTTAAATTCGTTTTAAACATTAAAATAATTTTTTAAATATTTTTTTCAAAGGAAACAATTGCTGAAAAGATAGATTGCGTAGACACTTTTTATATTACACTTGAATCAATTTTAACGTGGTAAATTTGGACCTTGTGAAAGAAAAATTTAATTAAAAGCTTATAAAAACTTTTAAAAACCTGAAGTTTGAAATTACTTTTAAAACCGAGATTGGAAAATAAGTCTCGCATATTTTTCAATTAGCACATATTTAATTGTTTCAAAAATCAAGAATAATTTTAATAATTATAAATATAGACTAATTTGTTGATTTATAAATATAGACTAATTTAAACTTGCTTTCATAACCACCACTATCATTATTCAATAATTTTACAGGAAAACCCAAAAACACTATTATGATGTATTTTATCCAGGGTTCAGGGTGTGAGTTCCAACCAATTTTAATCTGGATTGAGTTGTTTTTAGACAATACGGTTTAGCCAGGTGGTGTTCTGTATTGAGAATTAATTAAAATGAAAAGAAAAAGAAATTGTAAAAATAGTGGATTGTATCGGTTTAAAACGTAAACTTTGTTGGGTGTACATTTATTTTTTAATATTTAGAGTAATTTATATAAATGATAGATATTTATATAATATTTCAATAATTTATTTTTCCACATTAGGTATTTTGTTCCTGCAACTGGCATATTTATTTGTAATGTGTCTCATTCGTGGGTAATATACACTTTTTAAATTTTCCTTCTAAATATATATTATATTGATACTGCCTACAAAGCATGATGTTAAAAACCTACCAGTGTATTACAGACCATTTGAGCAATCAAATTAAAAAAAAAAATTAGTCAATACAAATCAGAATTTTTCTATTAAATTGGTCTATTTCTTACGTTAAATGGCTGAAAAAAAATTAAAACATTATTCTGTTTCATTTTTTTTTTATATTTAATTTTTCCTGTTTAATTCGTTTGAAATAACAAAAAAAATTATCAGTTCAGTTTAAGTGTTTTCATTAATTAAATCAAACAAATTAATAATTTTTTAAGTATAAATATCATTGCCGTTTAAAAAATTCATTTCCGGTAACGACAGGATTTTAGTTATGGAAAATTTTTTGAGGTTACCGAACATCACTAATTCTCTCCATATTTTTAACATTTATCTTTTTAACTCATTTTCTTCCTGTCACCGTTTTGGCTACTGTAATGACTGTACAATCATGGAGTATTTATATTTAGTCAGTGGTCGGTAGAAATAAATTAGAAACTATTAAGAATACTACAAAAACTATACAATAATAATTCACTTTTCTAAGAAAAGATAAAATTCTCCATTGATTAAGAAAAGAATGAGATATAAATTAAATTAATGATATGGTACTTGGGACAGTTGTGGTATTGAAATTTCAGGATTCAAACTTTTCAATGACATATCTCATAACAAATATTAACGAACTTCTTTTCAAAGTCAAAAAGAGGAAATTATTTTGTATATATTAATGAACAAAAGTACCAAATGAATCTTCAGAAATCATCAACTTCTCTTTGGACATGATAATTACCTGTAATCTTAGAATTACCCACCAAAGTGTTTCATAGTTTTAAATTTAAGTCTGGAAGTTATGAAGATTAAAAAAAAAAGCAATATTATTGTTTGTATTGATTTTATATTATTTTTTGTGAGGAAGGGAGTAATATAACTATTTAGAAATAATAAACCATATTTTAGCACTTTGTTGAATTGTTACTCTAATTATTTATTTAAAAAATAATTCATTAAAATTTTCAGAACTTCTGGAGCAAGAAGAGGTTAACGTCATTTTGGTTGATTGGAGTGAAATATCAAAAGGAATAGATTACATTAGTATAGCAAAGAGGACAGTAGATGTCGGGACTTACGTGGCATGGTTTATGGACTTTCTTGTCCGAAATGGAGCCCGACTGGATGATTTCCATCTGATTGGGCACAGCCTAGGAGCTCATGTAGCAGGTTTCGCTGGAGCGGCCGTGTCCAATGGAACAGTCGCTAGGATCACAGGTTTGAACAAGCCACGGCAAAGTCTTAAAAGCAAAATTTATAAGACTCAAGTAATATAGATAAGCTAAGTTATTATAAGCGAAGAAAAAATATCTGCCTTTTTGGCAGATATAAATATCTCTATTTCAATGATTTGTTTGAAAATGAATTTTGAACATATTTTAAATTAAAATTATGGGACGAGCCATTTTTGAAACATATATTTGTAAAAAACAATACATTGTCACATGTCCAAGGAAAAGAAGGGAATGAAATTATACCATAGGCGTCATTCATTCTCAATTATTGGTGAGGACTGGTACCATAATATACAATGAAACATTACTTGGGTTCATTTGGGTTTGTAACAAGATTTCTTCCTTGATGTATAAAGTGAGAAATTTTTTTTTTTCTACTTGCATGAATACAAAAAGCTTCCCTACCATTGATAGGAAAGAAATGAAATATATTCCATTGTTCAAAGGAGACGTCCAATTGTGTCCGATTGTTTTAAATAATCTTACAAATTAGTTAGGTAAGAATGTAAAATTAAATATGTTATTCTATTGTTTTCTTTATAGATAATTACGCAGCCTCTTTCCATCGAGTGCCTTGCTCAGAGTGGCTCTTTTATGTGTCAACTATCAACCATGAAAGACTCATCACTCTTGTGTATCACCAAGGTTATGTCCTTAGCATAGATCAAATTCCATATAATAAGAGTCCCTTCCTTGAAGTTATCTCGTTATTTTCTTCAGGGATTTGACCTGTTATGACAAAAAAATATACTCATATCAATTATTTCATTCTCATTACTTTACAGCTGCCTTGGCTTTATCACTTTACTAAGGCCAGTTAGTTTGAAATAACTATACTAAAATAATAAATAAACAAGGATTCCAATTTTTCATATTCAAAGTTGAAAGTCTATAAAATTATGTCAAATTAGGTTTAACCAATAACAAAAATTTGAAAATGTCTATTCTACGGTGCAACAAAAAAAAAAAAATATATATATATATAATTTTTGCAACATAGGATATATATATATATATATATATATATATATATATATATAATATATATATATATATATATATATATATATTATATATTTTTTTTTTTTTTTTTTTTTTTTTTTTTTCACTGTAGAATAGACATTTTCAAATTTTTGTTATTGATTATGTTTACAAAAATAAAGAGGAATGTATTTCCTTGAGTTTAGATTATATTTAGATAAATATAATTGCTTTCTTGTATGTACAAAAGTAATCACTTTCCTGTAAAAGAAAACTTCTTTTCCATCAACCCATTTTTTCTCATAAGATTTCCCGTTAAGTGTTATAAATGGGAAGTTATTCCAATGGGAACTTATCGATTATGGGAACAGATTATATTGTCTGTTTATTTATTTAGGTTGTCAGGACAAAAGAATTCAAATAACTGATCAAACAGTTAATCAATCACTTAATAACATCGTTTGAACCAATTAGATTTAACCTGTTTCCATTTTTAACATCAATATTTTTTAAATTACGTAGTTAGTCATCTAAATGAAATGGTACAGGGTTGTTTATAATAAAAGGATATATTCATTACTATTTTAGGTAAAATGTTTAAAACATGAAAGAAATATTTTTATTTCCTTCACCTTAAGATTTTTTATTCTATTTTTGAAGCAATTGCTACTTCTACAGTGTGATGATAACATTAGCAGCTAGTTCAACATGTCGACTTTTTTCTTTAAAGCAGTTAGTTTTTTAAGTCATTATTTCCAGATTTATCTAGATTAAATTTAAAATAACCAGTTGTATTTATCATAATTTCCTATCTTTCAAAAATAAAATAATATATTAGTTTCACAACTGATAATATTTATTTATTTTAAAAAATAACATTATGATAGATAAGTATCTTCACTTATTATATTGTACAGGTCTGGACCCTGCCATGCCTGGTTTTAACCAAGTGCCTTCAGACAAACGTCTGGATCGCAGCAATGCCAAGTTTGTAGACTGCATTCACACTTGCGCTGGCATGCTTGGCCTGACAGAAGCAATATGTACTGCAGACTTCTATCCCAATGGAGGAAGAAATATGCAGCCTGGCTGTCCTTTCTATGACTTTGGTAAGAAGAAAATTTTTTTCTAAGCTTATTGCTATCAATTAGCTAGCGCTTGATTAACCAAAGCCTAACACTGCTATATTTGCTTACTACTATCAAAATTATCATAATACTTTCTTTTGGAATTGACTGCATATTTTGAAAATATTTCCCCTTGGTGAGATGAAATCCAGCTTTGCTATTTTTGGAAATAAACTTCTTTTTATTTTAAAGATATTATAAAAATCAATTTGGTGCTCTACTTATTGAAAAATACTAACCTCAGTATTTTTGGTCACTTAACTTATTAATTAATTTTTGGTCACTTCCCTGGAATGCCTTGCATCACTGCTTAAGGGAAAAGGTTATAGATTGTTTTCAGATTAAATTGTTCTAGCAATTATTATAAAACTCGAGTATTCATGAATCAGAAAAAAAATTTTGTGGACCCGTTTGTAGAAATTATTCCATAAAATTAATCAATATTGTGAAATTAGGTTATTAAAAACTAGTACTAAGAAACTAAGAATCATCTTTTATCAACAAGCTATGTAAGGAGTTTACTTGATGGGTCTAAGCAATGGTGTCTGGTTGATTTTCATGTTTTATTCTTTGTATCTCCCATCAAAGCCCTTCTTGGCAATTCCATAACAAGATTTTACGAGCTTTCTTAGGTTCATTTTACCTTCTACCTTTGTTTCTTACATGATAGACTACTCGTTCCATTTTCCATTTCACATTCCAATTGCCTGTTCTTCCATTTTTTTAGTATATCCTATCATTGAAAAATTCAGAATAAAAATCTAGTCTCGATTCCAAAAAAGAACATTCTCTTATTTTTTGTTATTTCAAGATTATAAATGACCAGCACCAGACTAAAATGTCTACAATTAATCAGGAGTGAATTAGAAAAACTGTAACAGGCCATTATAGAACGGCAGGAAGAACTCGCTCGTAAAGGAATGAGTATCAACAGCTGCAAGATCATGACTGTAGCAAGAGATGAGGGAGGTGTGGGAAATATAAGAATGACATGCAATGGAGAAGAGCTGGATAATGTAGACTACTACACAAACCTTGGAACAATTTTAAACAAATCTGAGAAAATAGAACAAGAAGTTTCCAGCAGGATAAAGATAGCAAACAGTATATTTTGCCAGGTTTGCAATACAATTGTGGGAAAGGGAGAGGTAAGAAGGAATATCAAACTCCACATCTATAAAGCCGAGTATCTCCCTACATTATTATATGGCAGCGAAAGCTAGGTCAGCCAAGACAAACACTTATGCAGGATTACGGCTGCTGAAATGAAATTTTTATGAAAAATTTTGGGAAAACCCAGGAGAGACAGAGTGAGGAATGAAAGAATAAGAGAGGAACTCCTGATACCCTCACTGAAAGCAACTATGGAATGCTGGCAACTTCGATGGTATGGGCGCATGTGTAGAATGAAAGAAAGCAGAGTATCAAGGAAATGCTTGGAAGCGAGGCCAACTGGGAGGAGACCGCAGTACAGGCCTAGAAGAACATATTCAGCGATGAGGTGAGGATAGAGGAAAAACCCTAGGTCAGATGAAGGAATTGGCAAGAGGAAGGGATGTATGGTCGAAGTGGCTGGGGACTCCTCCACGCTGAAAGGCACACAAGAAGGAAGAAGAAGAAGAATAATCTACAAATTAGATTTAGGAGGTACAAAAAAAAAAAAAAAGAAGTTAATATGGCTCTATATTTGATTTAATTATCTAATGGTGAATCCTACAATTTTATGTGAAGTCCAAATAATGTTATCGTGGAGTCCTAGCACGATTAAACTACTAAAAAACTAAGAAGATAGTTCAGGATTAAGTGAAGTTACCACATGAACATTTTAGGTTTTATTTTTTTAATAAGGAAAAATATTAAAAATTGCACTGCGTCCTGAATTTTTAAGTATTGTATTATCCATAAGATGGACCTTAAATTTATAACATCAGGTTGTTTCCTTAAATCACACCTGTTTTCTAAAAAGTAAAACAGTCGACTACCTTCCTTCAATAATACTTAAAAATTGGAATTGGAAAAATCTTGGAAATCTTTTGTGCTACTATTTTTATTATTTTCACGAGAAAATATTGTAAACAGCTTTCGGAAGAAAAATGATCATTTCTTATAATTATAAATCAAAGAAGATTTAAAGCAGTCCATCCATCCTTTATGAACCTCAATTATCATATTTTCAAAAAATGATTAAGCCCTAGGGTTTTCGGTTTAATAACGCCTCTTCTAAATATTTAGTTAGGTGTCGCTTCATTATCTCTCAGTAACTCCTCGTAATTGTAATTCAAAAATTGTTTTAATTATAATAACTTTCGCTAACTTACGTAGGTAATATGTAATAGTGAAACAAAATACTGCGACCGCAAAAAAATCCAAATACTAATTTTAAACAAAAATGGACACATTTAAATTTAAACTAAGTATGTTGTGTCACTCTTAGGTAAGGGAAACAGTTTTTTAAACAGTTTTCTTTAAACATCTATTAAAAATAAACTGTCCATTGTGTTGATTGGTCCATTCAAAATCTACCAAAAATCAAACAGAATGAAAAAAAAAAAAAGTATCAAATCATGAGAGAGTATTCATTTATACTGTCAATGAATTCTTATTATTCGCATACAATAAAATTCTTAACAAAATATAAATTCATCAAAAAACAAAATAGAGCTGAGCGAGCATCATGATCCTGAATGTCATTCAAAAAATATAACACAAAAAAAAATAGATATTTGTTCAGAAAGACCTTAGAATATATTGAAGATATAGTAAAAGGAAATTCAAAAGAAAATGTTCAAAACAATCATTTTATGAAACTAAGATTATGAAAAAAAAGTTTTTTTAAATGTATAAACAGTTAAATTACTGATTTTACTATTACTATTAAAACACTTTATTCAGAAATATTACAATTTGTCACAGTTTAAGGACACTTATAATAGAGTTCAGAGATTGCATTCATACCGTATATACAAAAATATAAATAAATAAAGTAATAACAAAAGAATAAGAAAAATAACAAAAGAGTAAAAAAAAATATATATATATATATATATACACATAAGTAAATAAAAATAGAAATAAAAGTAAAACAAACACCTTATATAAAACATACCTATATACATTATTTACAATTTGCCAGGTGATCTCCGAACCAATCCTGTCCCCTCCACATGTGGAGGGAAAAGGGAGGCTTAAATTACTGATTTAGTCATTTAAATACTTAATTATCATTATGAGAAATCATTAAGATAAATACAAAAATTAAAGGGATACAATTTTTATCATTTTCTGCGGATTATGCAGGGTTTTTTAATTTTTTTTTTTTCCAGCATAATGAATTTCAAAATATAAATCAACTAATTATTTAATTATGAAATAAATCTTGTTTCATTCAGAATAAAAATATGAAGGATATAATATAAAACAGTCACTTGATAGATTTTCAGTTAATTTTAGTCATAGGAATGATCATTAATATCAAAACACATTTCACATTGAATAAATCGGTCCCAATGACACTCAGAAAGGTTTCCAATAAACAACAAAGTAGATTTGAAAAAAAAATTAAGTAGTGTAGAATTATGTAGTTGCTTGTAGAAGTGTAAATAGTTGTGAATATTTTAGCACTATTGGATTAGATTGTAGTATAGTATTGGATGGTTATATCTATTATCGGTAGAAGAATCAAATAGCTACTTACTATCAAAAATGACTATTTTAAGGGCGGTGTAGCCATAAGAGGTCACATAATTACTTCACAGAGTCGATAGATCCGAATTACAAGTTCCCTGCCTTACAATGTGAATCACTTCCTGATGATGCTAAATATCCTTCTTCATGCTCTCCAAGTTCGGTTAATATGGGATATTACACACTCCGGGAGTAAGTTTGATGTGATCTATTAATATTCAAATATATATATATTTCTTGCTAATGTTACTTTTTTTTATTGCAGCAGTTTTGGGATATATTTTGTCACGACGAATGAAAGGGAACCTTTTGCACCGATCCATCCATGGTGATTGTAAAAATGTATAGATCTTATATTTATTAAAATCATAAATAGTGTTGTTAAACCAATTATTATTTATATAAACAACGTTTAAATGGCTTGGAAGTAATTTTTCCAATGGCCAATAGTTATCTATATATTTATTATGGACACTTAAATGTCTACTTCTACTAAATTTTTCATTTGGCTATTCTTTATTAATTTATTTAAGCACTAGTGTCAAACTATTTAACTATTATTGTTAAATATTTAAAAATATGAAATTAAGTTTGTTTTCAGTTCTATAAATTTTATGATTGATTGAACTATGAATAACTATAATTTTAAACGAAGTTAAAATAAAATATTTATTTTGGTACATTTGGTGAATTTGCTTTAATTAGAGCCCTTTTAAAAAAACTTAAATTAAATTAAAAACTATTTATGAGACAAAATTAACTCCCCTTTTATAATTATTTTTTTTTTTTTTAACTTTTTATTGAACACGCTTACAATCTTGGACAATAGGTGTTAATAATCAAGATAACATTTATTTATTTTAAAAAATTATAATAGTAATAAGTTAAACTACAGTGTAGGAATAATAACCAAATAAAAACACTAAAGCACATCCTCACTTGTATACAATGTTTATACTTGGTCTTCAGATCACTAAACTCACACCTTTTCTATATGTAAGCTGTATGGGAAGGCTCTTTGAGGTCTCAGCACTTCTCTTTCCCTCCATCAATGGAACTAAAAGCCAGAGGATGTTGATGACTCTGGACATGAGTGGAAGATTGTCCGATTTATTTTTCAACCGATCTCGTGACCTTTGCTGCAAATTTGGATGATATATGAAATGAAAAATAATTTTATTCTGAGACTGAAGTCCCCTTAGAATAATATTAGAGTTAAAAAAATATGTACATTAGTCTGGCATGTAGATATAATACAAATATATACAAAAAATACTAAGGAAAATGTACATATATTTATATAAATACTAAGGAAAATATAAAATATATACAAAAAGTACAAAGAAAGTATAAATATATACAAAAAATACCAAGGAAAAATACAAATATATACAAGAAATACTGAGAGAGAAAAAAAAAGAGTGAATAAATAAAATAAAATGGCTCCTATCAATTAACTGCTGGTGCTCAACGTAATTATATAACCCAAAAATTCTTACAAGCTTGAGGAAGTTTGAATTTGTCGTAGGTGGTGGAATAGGAGTTGTTTGAAGAAGTGTATGGGCATAGTTTGATGTATAGAGATGGGTAAGGAGTTTCAGAAGGAGGTAGCACGAATGACGAAGAATTTGCTGAAGGAAGTGGTTTTATGGGGATGGATGTATAAATCTATAGGTTGAGATCTGGTGTTGAGAGAGTGGATAGAGTTGCATAAAGTAAGGAGTTCTAAGATATAGGCTTAGAAAAGAACAACACCAAAATTGCCGTCGGGAAGTAGGAATAAAGCCACTTCAACTCTGTGTATCAACAGGAAACATAAAAACGCAATTCATAAGTTTTTTCAGTCTCGTCTCCAATCTTGTGGACAACCCTCCATACACCAAGCAATCGTAGTCGAAGTGGAGGAAAACAAGGACATTACAAGGAGCTGCCTGTTTTTTTTTTTGTTTTTTTAATGGAATTGTTTAAGAATAATTATGGATTCCAAGAGAAGTTCTGATCAAAGACTACTCCTAGGTTCTTGATTGTCAAAAATAAACGGATAGGGCTGTTATTGAGGTAAAGTAGAGGAGAGAAAGGAAGGAAACTAATGAGGTGCCTGGAGCCATTGAGGGTAGCCTTGGTTTTATTTGTGTTCAAATTCAGTTCAGTTTTTTCTGCCCATGTGTGGATACAGTTAATATCCTCTTGTAGTTTTCTAGTAGCCTTGGGCATCTCATATGGTTAGAACGATAAGTAACTTTGTAGATTGTCTGCATTTAAGTGATAGTGTGAGTAACGAATGGAGTCAGGAAGGTCGGTAATATAAATGGAGAAAAGAATTGGAGGTACAATATAGAGTCAAAAACATAAAAATATGAAGAATGGTGTTGCTGGAGACATAATATAGAGTGTTAATTATGCTACACATAATTTTGAATTCAGTATACGCTCAATGTTCAAATGTTTTGCTCTCCCTTACAGTTAAAGTATATTGGTCCATCTGGATCTAAAAATAGTTTCATAAGGAATGGCAAGATTGAGTTTGATAGATGAGAGGTTCTGAGCTTTGTGATTGGTTGAGTTGGTTTAATCTTTTGTTAAGTTCTTGCCTTTTAAATCTATTAGACAAGACATCTATGACATTGACACCTTATGCTCTTGCTGTGACATCCTGGAGTCTGTTGAACACATTTTCATAAACTACACTGTCTTCAAGTCACATAGGGACTCTAGGATAACGATTTTTACCAATATTTACCCAACAAGGAACTTAACTTTTTTTTTTACAAGTTATTGAAAACTATAAACATATTTTCTAACTATAAAAATATTTCTTTTTTACTTATTACGTTATAATGTTTAATTTTTTGAAAAATAAACAAACCTAATCATTCATGTCAAAAAATGTTAGATTCATTTACAACTTATTGCATAATTCCAATAATAAAACTGAAATTTATGTCTCTTTTCACATAGTTCTTTTCAAATTTTTGTATTATTAAATACATCAATTCTGTTAATTTTATTCTTTAATCGTAACAATATTTACCCATAATCATGATAACACAATAAACCGAGCACTGAGTTCCTATGCATAACAAATCAAGTTCAAATCAAGGTTTGGTAAAACTAAATTTTTACTTACCATAAAATTAGTAGACTATATAAAAATAAGAACTTAGGTTCGACAGATGCTTCCTGGGTCAAATAAAATACTAAAATGAGTGCTTGACGTTAGTCAGGTGATAAATTCACTATTTAAAACATATTGCTAGTCCTGATTTCTCCATGAATAAAAAATCATTGATAGCTAATCTTACTATTTCATTTGTTGTGAGACTGAGTTATTTTATTTCAGATACAACTTCTAATCGTTAATTTATTTTTGGTTTAACTCGATTGGAAAATTCCAATTTTTAATAGAGTAACTTAGTAATTTTTAATTTTTTTATTCCTTTATTATAACATTTTTTTATTGATATTTTAGAGAATATTTTCCCCACAGTCAGAGCCCTTTATCTAACAATTGAATATAATCTTTTTTTTAAATTTGTTATTCTACATTGAACTACATTCTATATTTTCAATTTGAAGGACGGTGTAGTCATTTTAGATCATTTGAATTCTTTACTGAATCGATAAACCCGACTCATCATTTCCTGACTGAAAGCTGCCCTTCGTTCCCGATAGAAGATTATTCACAATGCAAGACATCTTCTGTCAAAATGGGGTACTATGTTTCAACCAGGTAACCAGCTATGAAATATTTATGTTGATTAATTTTACTTCAAATGCAATTGTCTTATCTTTTCTCTCGATTATGTTTTCAGTGCCGAAGGGATATTTTATGGAGTAACGAACAGTCAATTTCCATTTGCACACATTTCAAGTTACAGGAAATCATAAACCATCAGTTTTAGAGCATAAGAATACTAGCCTTATAATAATTTAGGAAAAATATTTTAATAATTATAATACATTACAAAATATTATTTATTAGTATGTACAAGATGAAATAAATTATGTTTTTTTTTAACTTTAAGGAAAAATTAAACCCATAAAAGTTTATTTATCTTTGGAAGATAAACTATGTTGTTGACATAAAAACTCAATTTATTTTTCCTCTATCACTTTGTTCCCTCCTGAAATATGAAGCAATCCACTCTACAGGGGACCAACTGCCAGCAGAGAAGTTGGTTGATCATTAATTTTCCTACAACAAGAACGGTGCTTAAATTAAAAGAAAACGATTTCATTGTTCATATAGCACACTGAGTGACAATTTAGCCTTTTTTTATACAAACTCAAAGCATTCTATAAGTCTAAGTGCTAAGTGACGACCGTTATCCCAAAATGTATATATTAAAAAGACCCTGAATTTGAAGTGGTACCAATATATAGTTAATGCTCTAACCCTTATTGTTAAATAAAATAAATTATAATAGAAGTGAAGAAAAATAAAGATGAGGAAGTTTAGGAATGTAAATAAGTAATTAAGAAACTTACTCATTACAAAACAGAATTAGCATAAATTGTTTGCTTTTAATTGTTATGTACTGAACTAGACGATAGAAACTTCTGATTGACAGTATCTGAATTTTTTAGCATAAATTATTTCATTTATATTCTACTGTGTAATTAGATTAGACGTAAAAATCAATAAATATCCCTATTTATTCAACCTTTACACACTAAAAGAAAATCAAATTCTATATTCTATTTTCAGTTGTCTGTGAGACGAACAGTCGAGACATTGAGGTGAGAGTATAAATATAATTTTTTACATTAGTTGTTTATTTCGATTCTTAATGCACAAACAATTTATTTCTTAAAGATTATTAATTAATGTGAAAAGTTAAATAAATTAAATAATTTTAATAGAGGAACCGAAGAATTTTTAGTTTATCACCTATGAATGTATTTTTTTTTTTTTTACATTTCTTATTACTATTAACATTTGAAACTGCAACTGATATGTGAACTAAACTTTTTTTTCTAATATAATATTAAATAGGCATTAGACAGAGAAACACATAAAGTCAACAAAAGCCACATTGGTTTTTCATATGCTATGTAAATTCTCACATTTATCAAAACTAAAATTTGAATTCGATGACTAAAATTGTCACAAATAACAAAATAAAAAAAAATTACATAATACTTATTGTATAGTAATTTATGTACCTAATTAAATTATGTACTTGATAGTAATTATATTTATTGATAAAAGAAATGTAATTATATATTAAATGAAACAAAATAGAAAAATTGTATTTTACACATTTAAATATAAGAGAATTTAAATTTTTATAAGAAAGATTTAAAATTTGATATCAGTATGCTGAAAATTAAAAAAATAAACATTGAAATTTCATCATTTTTTTATAAGTTGTTTATTTTCAGGAAACTAATATTTCATAAAAATACTTAAGTAAAAAATATACATTATTGTTTTAAAATAATTGTTGATTTGTATATTTTGAATTATCAAGAAGAAAAAAAAAAAAAAAGGAATATAACTTAAAATAAATTAATATTGTTGGTAATATACAGCTTGGTAAATTTTTTTGTCCTTCATATCATTGATTTTATAAAACAAAAGTGAAGATAAAAATGGGAAATAAATTTAACTAATAAATCTATATTTATACCTTCACATATTAGTGAAGTAAACTGTACTGCATAAAATGGCTCTGAATAAATTAATTATTATATCGTGAGATTCGAAAACTTAAGAAAAATTAACTGGAAATCATTGTTCAATAAAGTGTTTCTAACTGATATTTGCGACTTTAATTAAAAATATTTAATTATTATCAACCAGAAGAAATAAATCAATGAATTATTGCTCTTCAAAAGCATGGAATATCAAAATCATGTTCAAACCATGTTTTTGATTTCTAAACATTATATAATATTTGTTCTCACCTTCATCACACACAGGCCAAACAGTAGAACCATACCTAAGCTTCTGTTTCCTTTAATCTAATAATCATAACTAGAAAGCATTCAGTACAAAATAAAACCTTCAAAATAATTCTAAACACGACTAGCATTATATTTGAGAAAATCAAAAATTTCTTTCTTTAATTTATCAATTAAAATAAAAAAAATAAAGATGGTAAATATGGTATTAAAAAAACAGAAGGATGTCTGAGATAAAACAAGTATTGTTTTTTATCAAATACTTTGCCATTGTCAAGGGATGTTGAATGGACACGGGCGGATCTACGGGGAGGGCTTTCAGGATGAAGCCCCCCTCCCCCAAAATGGAAAAATATAACCATGTTTTATCGAAAGAAATATTAAAAAATTATCTCTCAAAGTATTATTGTTCGTGTAATACATTTAAAAGTGCTTTAGGAATCACATAAACACCATTTCATATAGGTAGTTAGTTTCTTTCTTTTTTTCCAAAGTAATTATCGTTATTTTTATGAAAAAAAAAGCTTTCTGACTGAAGCCCCTCCCCCCAAAATAAAATCCTGGATCCGCTAGTGTGAATGGATGATGACTTTTAGTATTAAGGAGAGATATGATTTTTGTTTTATAAAAATAAGCCATGTAGTTAATCAGATAACAAAAATCCTGTATCAAGACCTCTAAAATTCAAGAATAAAGAAATCCATGGAAATTTTGTGTAAAGACGACATAGATTGAACATTTCATCTTTACATTGATTTTCGGACACTGGAAATCTTAAAATTTATGCATTAAGAGAAATTTGAAAGCTTGTAGTAACCATTACACTTTATTTTATTACCTTATAGGAAGAATAATGTTTACAATAAAAATCAATTTAATGATTTTGAAATTGTTTATCTAATATAAACAATTTCTGTCATTGATCAAATGACATTATCTTTATCATTTGCAATTAAGATCTTATCATTAGATAGATATATGAAATTGATTTCCGAATATTACTGAGTTTGAAGTTATATACTCTAAGTTAGTGCTTCCATTTTTTTTTTTTTTTTTTTTTTTAATATCTGTTTTTAAAAGGCATACAAAACAAACCATTATTGTATAGTTTTGAAAACAGATTAAATTTAATTTTAGAGCAATTAAGTATATATCTGTATATAAGTACGCACAAATTTAGAGAAAAAGATTTTTTGGTGTTTCTTTGATATAACTTACCAACTTAAACAACTTTATAAGTTTAAAAAGTAATATATATCTATATAAATTTCTAAATAATACTTCATTAAAAAAGTATCGATGAGTGTTTGAATTCAAGGAACTTTCCTTCTTCATAAAATATTTTTTAAACTTTTAAAATTAAAAATTCATGTTGTTTTGTTTTTCTAGCTATCCATTAAATAAATTAGCAACACAATGGAATGGATAGTAACTGCTCTGTTGTTTCTTCTTGGCTTCTTAGGTATATATATATTAATTTTTAATTTTAAAATAATTAATTTTTCATATTTTTAATATATTCCACAAAGAATACTTCAATTGTTTTCCAATTTGTTCATTAAAATATTTTATAGATTTTTTTTTAAATTTAATTTAAAACTATTTATGTTACCTATTATATTTTTTGTGAAAGTATAATTTGCTTGTTTTTTTTCCTAGAGAGTTCAAGAGCTAACTTCAATATTAACTTTATGCTCTTAGCTTATAAGGATGACCTAAACAGCACTGCTTTGCGAAGGACAGATATATTATTACAGGATGTATCAAAACAAGTATTCTTTTATCTATATGTAAGATGTAAGAATGAAGACCTTTGTAAGTAAGTTATTAATTTCATACAATATCACTATTTCATATAACACTACTTTCTTCAACATATATTAAGACAAAAATTGTCAACTCTAGTAATTAACAGTAATTTTTCGATTTGTTAATTATTTTTAACAAATATAATTATCATGGTGCAGAGATGGTTGACCGTGATTATAATATGAATAGGAGTTGGTCGGGGGGTACGATCAAATAAATACTATATATTAAAATATTATTTTATTATTTACATCGACGTTTCGACCCTTTTTGTAGGTCTTCATCAGCCTGATATCAGACACTGCAGGATGTGGGTCGAAAAATCGGCATAAACAATAAAATACTATTTTAATATATAATATGTATTTGACCGCAACCCCTGACCAACTCCTTCTCAGGTATAATTATCATTTGTTTAATTATGTTTATTTAATAGTTAGCAATAATAAATAAGATATTATTATTTTTTTTAAAACAAATTTTCCAAGTAATATTAATATTTTTTTATGTTTCAGAGGATCAGACATAAAGCAAGAATTAATTCCTAATGACGTAAGCGTTCTTCAATCAAGTTACTTTGATCCAAAACATCCCACTAAAGTTCTCATCCATGGGTTCTTAAGTAGTTCAAATAAACCAATGGTGCAAGAAATAAAAAATGGTATGTAATTTATTTTGTTTTCCTGTAAAACAGTAGATAAAAGCAAAGTTCAATGATGAAAAAAAAATATGTTGCTAAGAATTTAATGCTAATAATACTAAATATATTACATTGTTGACTAGCATGCTTGTATGTGTGAAGCTAATTCTCTTCTAAATCTTACAAAATGTAATAAATTCCATTTTTTTTTTTTTTTTTTTTGGAACTAAAAATATTCTAAACCAAGACACCTTGTCTTTCCACTAACATTTTTCTTAATCTATCATTTTTCTTCTTAATGTTAATTTTTCTGGATAATAAGACCACCATTTATTATTTCCCCCCTCCTTGAAATTTTGGTATAACAATATTATTTCTTAAAAAATATTTCTTTCAAATTGGCAGCCCTACTGGAGCAAGAAGATGTGAATGTCATAGCGGTAGATTGGAGCAAAATATCCTTCGGAATCGATTACAATAGGATAGCAAAGAAAACAGTCGATGTCGGAGCTTATACTGCAGAGCTGATCAATTTTCTAGTCGAAAATGGAGCCAAGCCAAATGATTTCCATCTAATTGGACACAGTCTTGGAGCTCATATCGCTGGATTTGCTGGAGCATCCATAAAGAAAGGAAAAGTAGCCAGAATTACAGGTCAGGAAAGTTAAATTGTCTATATTGATGATTCAAAAAATTATCCAGTTAAGTTGCATTAATATTGATTGTATTTTAAATGTGTTGAGAAGACTTGTTTTATATTCTTTAAATTATTATTTCATTTGAATGAAGGTGAACTTTCCATAATGATCCAAAGATCGCAGTTAGTGATAATCCAACAGATGCTAGAACAAATAACGACCTAACCAGTTACTGTGTATCTTATTGTTCTATCCATAAAGATCATTACTGAGTTCAGTCCTTGTCAATAACCATCTTCACACTTGCTTACTCACTATTGACCCTCATCCAAAGCAGAAATAAAGAATGAACTTCATCAGTGTCTTATACTACATGGAAGTGGTTGTCGTCAAATTTTTTAAAACATTTCTTTGTTGCCTGATCCGCTACTTTATGGCATTCTCCTCCTCTTTAGAAGTGGTACGCCCACTCCTTATCCATATTTAAAACCCTGCTATTCCAATTTCTCTTCACAAAATAGTGAACGCTATTTATTAACTATGTATCATATAACAATGCTATGATTTTAATCATACTCATTTTACTTATGAATATGGGCAAATAATCACATATACTGGAAAATAAGATTTCTGAATGAGGTCAAGGAAGATATTAAATGGTAGTAAATTCTAGAAGTCTGTGGGAAGGGGTATAAAGAACTGAATCATGGTATCTCTTTTTCTGTGGACTAAAAATTTGAATTACAGGAATTCGTAGATGTAGAAAGGATGTTGGGAGTTGATAGTTTTGAATAGATAACATTTAAGGAAGTATTGTCCATAGAAAGGGAGAAAAAAACATTTTATCTCGCCATAAATAAGAGCCAGGACATATGAGACTGTTTCGATGCACCAAAGATAAATTTTAATAAGCAGATCATGAATTCTTTTTTTATTTATTTTTAAAATTTAATTTAAATTTTAATTTAATAATGCACATGTACATGTTTAAACTTTTTTTTTTTTGGAATAGCTATCATATTTTTTTTTCTTATTTTAAACTGTAAAAACATGTATATTTATTTAAAATAGTGTTCGCCCAGTGGTCAAAGTTCGAAATTATTTATTAGTAATACAAAATAGACTCATTCAAAAATATTTAATTTTCATTTTAATTTATGTGCATTATTATCACAATAAATTAATGTTATGATTAAGCAAGTAAAAAATAAATTTAAATTAGCAATTTCAATTCACTTTTTTTTTTCAAAAGAAAAAGTACTAAATGTTTAAAATGATATATCTCAGTAACAAATAGTCCGATTTCGATGATTTTTTTTTTATTTTGTAGGGAATTCAGGAAGCTTTCAAATAAATATTGGTATCTGTGTACTTTTTGAGTTATTCGCAAATAAAATACTGGATTCATTATAAAAATGTATGCAGCTTGTTTTCGGGAAGTATGTTGTATACATAAGTTATAAAGGTTTCAAGGGGAAGACTTTAGCCAAGTTTCATTGAAATCGTTGAAGCCGTATTGGTGCTACAGTCTAAAGCGGATCACGTTTTTCGGCCGCCATTTCAAAAGGAAAGGCCCGATGATAATGAAGCGTATACAAAAAAAAACTTCTAAATATTATTGCGACGTTGTGTCAAAATTTAAAAGAAATTGGTGAAGAACTTTCGGAGATAAGCCGTTTTGAACAAACTACCATTTATATTTTTGTTTATATACTATTTAATATTTTTATTTATTGATAACACTAAAGCTCGTCAATATCTATCAAACAAAAAAAGAAGGAAGACAATCGGTTGAATACTAGAGGAGTAAAAGGGGCTTAACCGATTTGTATTTGCCTATTTATATAATGATATTTTAAAAATAATAAATGTAAGTAATTTTATTATTGGCGTTTTTGTTTACCTACTAGAGAATATTAATATTATTTATTAAAAATTGTTCATTATCTAATATATGTGGATCATCAAATTCTTTAATAGATTAAAATTGATGTAATTTCTATATAAAGTATTCATCTCTTAATTTTCAACTAATTTCATGTTGTACAGGTCTCGACCCAGCCAAGCCAGGTTTCCATAATGTACCTATTGAGAAACGTTTGAATACCAACAATGCCAAATACGTTGATTGCATCCACACTTGTGTTGGTACACTAGGACTGACAGAGGCAATCTGTACCACAGACTTCTATCCAAATGGAGGAAAGAACATGCAGCCAGGCTGTCCTTTCTTTGACTTTGGTAAGGTTCGATTTTTAGGAAACTTTGTCTGTTAATTGTGAATTTAAAAAAAAAAGAAAGTTTTTGGATGTAGTGATATGCTGACATTACATTTGCTGTATGCCCAAGAAAGATGGGCTCCTAGTATATTCAACTGAGGAAGGGCTTTTAATTTTGGACACAAAGATGGTTCAATTGATACAAAATGATCAAATGTAATTTTTTTTACATAAAAGAAGAAAACTTTAAGCTTTGTACCCTGGTATTTTATTCATTTCTCTTCATTTATTAATTTCAAATATCCAAAGATAATTTATGGTGAGTTTTTGTGTGCATTAAAGTAGAAGAAAGTACAGATACCCAATCCACAATACTAGTTTTACATCTGTAATTTTTTATGTTAATTAAAATAAAATCAAAGGTTAAAGGTTCAAATTTTTTTTAAAGTAATAACTTTTAGCATTAGTAATGGAAGGTTCAAAATAATCCAACTTCATTCAAAACGATTATGAGGACTAAAAAAAAAGAAAATAAATAATGCTATTAAAATTTTTATTTAATAACTCTATAGATGAAGAAAACCTTGAAATATAATTGGATAATTTACAAAGTCAATAACTGACGAATCATTTAGAATCTTTATGGTTTTATTTAAATTTGAAGGACGATGCAGCCATATAAGATCCTATGAGTACTTTGCTGAATCAATTAATCCAGAACATAAGTTCATGGCTGAACGCTGCCCATCTCTGCCGGTGCACAGCCACTCGGGATGTACATCTTCTCCTATTGAAATGGGATATTATATTTCACCCAGGTAACTAGTTATACACATTTGTAAGAATTAATGCTAGTACGAATTTAAAAGTTTTCTAATCTTTTTCTCTGTTTTTAGCGTCAACGGAATATTTTATGGAAAAACCAACAACAGATCTCCGTTTGCAACAATCATTAAAAGAAAGTGAAAATGATAAAATTTTGTGATGAATATACAAATGAAAGCTCTAGAATGGTGTTGAATATTCTTTTGATTTGCCTCAAAATACCTAATGAAAAAAACTACTATTTTAAATTAATTATCCTTGCCTAAACTTTCTTCATAACTTTTTGATCCATTCAGAATGAAATTTTATAAGTAATCAGTAATAATAAATCTTGCCTTGAAAAGATACTTGACACTCCCAACCACTTACATTGTGAATGTCTTTCTCTGATTTCTAATATGTAAAAAAAAAAATATCAAAAAAGAAAACCCAACTGTTTGATTTTTTTTCAATTTTATGTATATATAATTTCTTTTTAGCTTTTAAATATTTAAATATTCCATTATTTTACATGTGAATTCCTCATTTAATATTTTTTTTTTCTAAACCTCCAAGAATTTTATTGAACAAATACAATATATGTATTTACATCCCTTTTTTTGCTTGTTCTTTGTACTGCTCCAAGGTGTTTTAAGGTCCTCATTTAATAAAATTAGCAGAGATGAGCTACTTCATGTAATGAAGTAGATAATCTCTGTTAATTTACAAATAAAATAATAAATTTAATGAGAAGTAGGTAATAGCTTGCTTATCTTTATTTAAATGTTTTATTTTATTTCATAAGAAATATGATTTACAAGTTCGTAGTTTAATTATAATAAAATTCTATTTGTTCATTCCACTGTTTATATTTACTTTTACACTTGATTACATTAATAAGATCAAAACGGAATGAACGATTAATAAAAGGAAACTAATTTAATAAACTGCTAAAAGAATGCATAAATAAATATAATTGAAAAATTATACATAATTCCGATTAATAAAAAAAAATGTTTCTTTTAAAATAATAGTTGAACTATTCGCCCACAGACAGTAGCACAAAACAAGGAAGCTACAGTGGCTTAATAATATTATTAAGCCACTGTAAAGGAAGCTAAAAATAATATTTCTAAATAGCGCCGCAAGATGCCAGCACTATCCAAGCAGGCAAGGCTTGAAAATATGATTCTTTACTAAAAGTTATTAAGTGATTTTAATTAAATTAATATTCTTTTCCTTATATATAAATAGCAGAGCCCGGCAATTTCCTCTTCGGGTTAAATTTAGATAATGTATGCCTGTTTAATAAATCAATTAAAATATGAAGTTCATATAATTAATTGAATAACATTTAATTATTGAACTAGAAAAACAAAAGGACTGACCATTAAAAAAGAAAAAAAAAACCAAAATGTTTGATATAAATAGTTTTCAATTTTATGCATATATATTTCAAATTACAGCTTTTTAACTTCTACAGTCTTTCTTCCTTTCTTACATATTTTCCATATTGATCTCTCAATTATTGAAATATATACATAATATAATATCAACCCCATATCAAATAATTACTTTAATAGGAAGTAGTTTCTTTTTTATATTTATTTATTTATTACATTTGATTTCATAGTATATCTAATTCACAGCTTAGTAGTTCAATCATATTTAAATTATATTATTTTCGATCATTATTTTACGCTTATTTTCACAGTTTATTACGTTAATGAGATGATAAAAGAATGTACAATTGATCAAGCATGCTGTTTAATAAATTATTAAAAACATTCTACAATAAATAAGATTGAAAAATTATACATGAATTAAAAATTTCGAATTATTAATCGAAAAATACTCTTTTTCGATTTTTGAAATTATAGTTGAGTTGTTTGTCTAAAGATAGCAGCATAAATCAAGGAATCTAAAGCTACAGTAAAGGAAGCGATTTTATTTTATAATTATTAAGTCACTTTAGTGTTTATTAGATGGTGCTGTTTTTTATTTAAAATAATTAAATTTAAAAAAAAGTTGTTATTTTTGCATTTTGGTATTGCTTAAATGCTTATTTATGTAATTCCTAACACTGCAGGCTAGCACAGCTTCCCATAATTTGTTAATGAGTTAAAATTGTGTATAGCGAATTCTGTGATCTGTTTTTTTCCTGAAGTTTATTGTCATAAGATGTTATATAGACTAAAGTTAGTGTATGAGTTTCGTATGTGTTAAATAATAGATTATTTTGTAATGTATTTCATCATTAGAAATTACAGAACTTAGTTTAGTTATTTAACACTAATTTCTCAAAAGTATACATTGTGAGTGAAGTGAAGGTTTGAGTGCATCTAGAGATTTTCACTATGTATATAAATATGGGTATGTAATAGTTTTCGTATGTATTTTTATATATATAGTAAAACATTGTAGAGGGAAACAAATGTCTGTCTGTGACAAGTTCTCTTTAGTTTATCCAATTATTTCTTTGAAATAAACATTTAGATCCTCATTGCTGTATGTAATGTTAACTAAATATTTATATTATTTCAGTGTATATCTGATTTAAATGATAACAGTTTGCTTCAACTGTTGTCTAAGGTTGAATTTTCATTCTACTAAATTATTCTTGTTCATAGAGAATAATTCATTCTTGATTTTCTTATTCAAAGTATTACTCTTAAATTTTAAGGTCAGTTTCCATTTCAAATCTTTTGGTAGTTAAAATTTCAAAAATAATATTTGAAAACTATCTTCTGATCTGAGTCACTGTTATACGATATTTTTATTGCAGTTGATTGATTGTAATGTAGGTATATCAAGGAATAAATAATTAGGATTCAATAATTATTATTTTAATACAAAAGTCATTATTTTGATACAAACTTGTTGCTCTTCAACAAGACTGAATTTAAATGTGATATAGAAGAGGTATGGATAAGATGTATAATATAAAGATAGAAATAAATAACAAAAAAGATTACTAAAAGAAAATTAAGAGTAAAGATAAAGTAAGAGACAAGAATATAAATAATAATGGAGATACATGTTATTTTATGTCATGTATCGGTTAATTTATCTTTATTTACTCTTATTATATTTATTCTTGCCACAATGAAAATGATGGGAAAAATCAGACAACGTGAAGTTATTTTTTAATGGTAAATTTGGGTTGTTATGTATTAAACTTATACACAAGTTTATTTATTTAATATTTTACAAAATTACAAACAACATTTAAAAGAAATAAAAATAGCCACTTATATTACACTACATTTCCCTCGTTTATAATATATATATATATATTTACTAGATAAAGAATGCAAGTACATAATTGAAATTTTTATTCAAATTGATTATACATTTATTGATGTAAAAACAAACAATACTTGATTGCCATTTACAATATTTATTTTTATAATAAAAAGTTTCTTAATCATCCGACACTCACAATCAATCTGAGAGATCTTGAACACGAAGAAAGTTTATTTGTTCAACAATAATGAATATTCTACTTAAAAATTTCTAATAGCTAGAAAATGAATTCTTTGAACATAATGAAAATTGTAGATAACTAACTTTCTGGTAGTAATTGGAACTTTTCAATCCAAATGTCAAAAATCATACAACAATTTATTGAATAAAAATCCTATTTATTCATAATTACTTTACATGTGTTAGTTTCCCATGTCATAAATGTTATATAAAGTATAAACTTAATGGAAATAAGCAGTAAAATAATGAAAAAACAGTACTAATCTTGGTTCAATATCTCAGATCATCGTGTGTACTGGTGTTACATCTCTGATTGCTAATATAAAGTTTTTTTTCTTCGGGAATGGACTTTTGATTATGATTTTATCACTGTTACAAAATAAGACTTATTTCACACAAATAATAACTATTAAATCATAAATTATAGTTGACAAATTGAAAATTTACAGCAATAATTATATTTGTTATTTATAGATTAAAATTTAATTTTTTTAAACTAAATTTAAAGTTGCTGTTTTATTTAACTTAGGAGATAAGGACAAAGTTGTAAATAGTATAATTGCACTTTTTATTTTAAATCTAGTCTGCAACCTGTATTCACTTTGTTAATAAAAGAAAAGGAGAAGGAATTGTAATAAAAATTTATAGGTGAATAAAATATTAGGAAAATAACTTCAGCCCTTTTAAAACTTGATTTATTTTCTTCTTTTTCATATTTTAGTCAATGATTCATGCTAATTTGCCCATCTTCAAGTCTCCTATTTCCTTATATATCATTTTATTTGTACCAAAAACAAGTCTTCCTTCAAAAAGAAATCTTCTTGCATTCCCGATTATCTTTTATAAGCCTCCTTCTCTTAATTGTCCAATACACTTTTTCTCTTAAAATGAGCCTAACAGAACTTGGAATGAGCTCAATGCTGTTATATACCACAATAAATTGTAATAAAGTCAATAACAATTAAAATATTTGTATGTTTACAAAAATGATTTTTAATTATAATTTTTAAAAACATAAGTAATATAAAAATTTAATTACAATGAAACAATAATTTTCAATACTTCACATTTTATTAACAAACACTTCAATACACAAAAAATAATTCACATTTATTTATCAAATTCATATGTATTTATTATTATTATTATTATTTTTTATAGGTATGTAGCTGATTTCTACCTTCTTCTTGAAAAGGATAGTTGGAAATGATGAACTACACTGCTGTTTGGAAATGTCTTTGTAAAAAATATGGCATCGATGCGAATGAGGCCATTCGGCGAATAATTCACAAATGAATTATTCTTCACTTCACTTCTTCACTTGAATCCACATCAGAAAAAGAAATCTTTCCAAGACTCCCCATCGAGGACATGCAGTCATCAACTATGTATTCATAATTAGAAGCCTGGAACCATCACTCTGAGAAGCAAGCAACACATGTCTGGTTTCAGAACAAAATTTTGTATACTTTCCAATATGGCTAAAGAACTTCAAGACAGTAAAAGCAGAATCAAGAACATTATTCATTTCATGATAGTCATTTAAATATATCATGTCATTCTATAGTAGTAATTATTGGTTTAATATAATTTTTGTATTCATTATTGTAATTATTCATGTGATTTATTTGTTGTATTATTTATTGTAATTATTTGTCATTTAATTGTTATATTCAGTATTGTAATCATTCATGTAATTTAATTCTTGTAATTATTAGCTCATAATTGTGATAATTATGTTATTGGTATTGAACTTATACATGTTATTAAATATTTGTAATTAGTATAAAATAAATAAAAGAATGTTTTAATAATTATTTTATCAATATAATCATGATCACTTATGTACTTATATTCTTTAAATAGTAAAAATGTTATGAATGGGGAAAATGCAGTGTAATGTAAGTAGTTATGTTTATTTCTGTTAAATCGTGTTTTTCATTTTGTAAAATATATAATAAATAACGTGTGTAAAAGTTTTATATATTACAACCCATATTTATTATTAAAGAATAACTTTTGACTCCAGCCTGGTGTATTTTCTACCTTCCTTTTCTTTGATACTAAAAGAAATGTAATAAAAGTAAATTAAGATAAAGTAAGATATACATAAAGTTAAATAATGTGTATCTCTAATATTATTTATATTTTTGTCTCTTGCTTACTTTTATTAACATATATCTTTATACTATACACATATCTATATCACTTTTATATCTGATATAATTTCATCCTTGAAGAAGACCTATGAGTTTGCATCAAAGCGTTGGCTTTTGTAATAACATAATGATTGAAATTAGCTTATTTACCTCATGATATACATCACAGTCAATCAACTACAATCAAAATACTCTATTTGATTAACTAAAAGGAGAATATAACTTTCAAATTGTAAAGATTTTGATTGCAAGTTGGTGTCAAAATTTGAAATAACTTGAAACGATAAAACCAAGAGTGATTTATTCTCTACGAGCACGAATAATTTAATAGATAGAAAATGAAATACCATTAACAATTGAAAAAAATTTTAACAGAATGTTTTAATTTGAATCAGATATACATTAAGATATTATAAAACTGTAGGTAACAGTACATACAGAAATGAGCATCAAAGTGTTTGATTGCTGAGGAAGAATGGGGTAAAATATAAAGAACTCTTCACAGGAACACATTTATTTTAAAAATACATAACTATTACATATCAATAATATTTATAAAAACACAGTTCACAGTTGATAATTCTAGATGCATATAGAACTTCACTTACTCTATACATTCAAGAGAAACACCTTTATTTGTTTTCTTCTGTTATGTTTTACGATATATTTAAAGTATATAACAAAACTATTACATATCCATAATAATATTTATAAATACAGTTCACTGTCAATTTCACTAGATGCATTCATATCTTCATTTTACTCACAATGTATACTTATTAAAAACTCGCGATAAACAATTAAACTAAATTCTGTTATTTATAATGAGAAAAACATTACGAAATAATGTATTACTTAAGATATAAGAGAATCGGACACTAACTATAAGGAACACAACTATGTACTTTAGTAAAAAAGTAATTTGGAATTTATTAAACACAATTTTAACTTCTTCACACATTATGGTAGGTTTTGAAGGTCTGTCACGATAAGAATTAAATAATTAAACATTTAAACAGTGACTCAATACGTAAATAACAATTTTATTAACAATTGATAAGTTAAAACGAAGATCGAATAACAGTTTCCGAAACTGAATGGATATAACAGCCTTACTGAACAAATATTTTGAATAATAGTATTGAAACCTAATAAAAGAGAGCAGCACCATCCAATAAACGTATACAATGCACTACTAGTTTTAAAAACCGCTAAAAGAGTGCAGCACCGTACAGGGAACACGAAATCGGCATTTAGTTCTAAAAGTTGCCGCAAGGTAACAGCACTATCCAGGGACTATTGTATTGAACACGAAACTCGTACGTAGTTGTTAAAACAGCCGCAAGAGGCCAGCACCATCCAAGGAAGCATCGAAATTGTAGTTCTAGAAGCCGCCGCTAGATAGTAGCACTACAAAGACCTGGTCGACTCGAAAAGTGAGCTCCTGTGGCTTCCTAATATCCTAATAGAAATCGACGAATTTCTCGCTATAAATTCGAATAAAATTCGTAGTTCCTATGTTCTGCCAACAGATAGCAGCACCATCGGTATCAGGACCGCTCCGAAATGATAGCTCCTGCTACTTCCTCTTCTCCTGATACAAAATAAAGATTTTCAATTCAGAATATTGTGTCGGAGACTCTCCTGGGGCCATTTTTTTCTGTTTTCTTGCTTATTCATGCTCGAAATTGATCAGAATATTTAAAAATTGTTTAATAAATTTAAAATAATTCCCTTTTTTTCCTATTTCTTCCTAAAATAAGGAAAATAATTACAAAACATCAAATTAAGTGTTATTTTCAACATTTATCAAATAAATGCTTACTTTTCTTTCTTTATATCTATTTCTTGTATTATGTTATGATTTCCTTGTTTGTTTATGCTCGGAATTGATCTGAATATTTTAAAATTGTGAAATAAATTTAAAAGAATTAATTTTTTTTCCTATTTCGCCCTAAAATAAGGAAAATAATTACAAAACATCAAATTAAGTTTTATTTTCACCATTTATTAAATTAAGACTTACTTTTCTTATAAAGTTTATTCCTTATATTATATAATATGATTTCTTTGTTTATTTATGCTCGGAATCGATCGAAATATTTTGGAATTGTTAAGAAAATTCAAAATAATTCTTTTTTTTTCTTTTTTCATCATAAAACAAGAATAATGTTTAAAGAACATCAAATTGAGTGTTATTACAATTCTAAAATATTTCGATATATTCCGAGCATAAATAAACAAGGAAAACACATTGTATAATACAAGAAATCCTATATATTATTTTTAAAAGTTTTTTTTGTCGGTACGCCATAACTTCGTCAATTCTCCATCAAATCGACCTCTCATTTTGAAGATATTCTTCTCCTTCACATGCGAATAAAATGGAGGTCATTTTCAAAATCTACGGCTTAAGAAACATAAAAGTGGACCTTTATATTGGATAAATTCGAAAAACTTAAATAAGTCAAAACGCAGCGGCGTAATCATAAAATGGAGGTCATTTTCAAAATCTACAGCTCTGGGAACATACAAATACACCCTTACATCGAATAAATCAAAAAAACTTAATTAAGTCGAAACGCAGTGGCGTAATCTTGAAATGGAGGCCATTTTCAAAATATATGGCTCCGGAAACATAATAATACAC